GTTAGTACAATTATCACCTTGGGAAAATGTGATAGGTGCATTTATGTCTGTGTTCCTTCCTGCAAACATATGACACATGCAATTGCCTCTCACTTTCAAACCCAAATCACCAAGCTGTTTCTCTGGTTGGTTTTTTTTTTTTTTTAAATAATTTGTACTTTCCAAAATTAGAAGAACAAAACACCTTTTCTTGTTGAAGGAAATGTACACACTTCAGGAAATGAATCTGTACCTAAAAATCTCCATTCATCCTGAACATGACCTCTCTCACAATCAGCATCTCTGCAATTGTTTTTAGAAGTGGGGTGATTCTTTAAAGAAACCTATCTGTTCCTCAGTCTTCAAACCTTAAGAAGAGTTTATATAAATGAACGAGGGTTGAATGAAGTGTTGACAAGTTTTCAGCAAATAGCATAGAATTGAAGCTTTCAAGGTTTGATGTTAGTGATTCATGGGAAAAGGCTAGATGTCATTGAATATTCATTTGTTTTTCTACATTAAAAACAAGAAGTTTAATTTCCTAAGCCATCTGTTACCTCTGGGAAAGATAACGGAGATTGGAAATATACAATGCAAAAATTTCAAGGTCCCTTTAAATGAACATTAAACACACAAAAGAGTTGCTTATATAAGAAAGAATAGTTAACTGCTTTCTCTAATACTTTTATATTTAAGTGCTAATCAGCTAAACTAAATGAGAATATAATAGAAATTCATACAGTGTCTTTAACCAAACAAACACTTTACTGAACTCTAGAATGTGATGACAATAGAGAAAACTAAAAAAAAACAAAACAAAAAAAAAAAAAGACAATCTTTGAAGAACAAAATGCCTTCATAGAGGTAATGGGGGTTTGAGGGATGGCCAAAGAAACTGAGCAATGAAAGGTGTGAGGGAACTGTAAAAACAAAGGCAGATAAATATAACATGGTGCTGTAACATGATATTGTCAAGACAGATGCTTCAGGGAAGAATCTCTGTAGGCCTAGTTCTCAAAAAGAGGAGGTGAGAGCAGAGAATGGACTTGATTTCCCAGAGTGTGTTGCTATAGACACCATGGAAGGGGCTCTTTACAGAGGAAGAGGTGGGGAAACACCCAATGAGGAGATGACTTTAAGAATAAAGAAATGGGAAAGTCTTCATTCTCAATGCTTCTCTTTTCCTCACTACACTTTCCCTATCATGATCTCAATTTTCCCTCGTATATCAAGAATATTTTTCAGTTCAGCTGCTTCTCCTCATGCTCCCTTGTCAGCCTACAAATCCAAGCCATCATCTCTCTCCTGGATTACTACCCTAGCAAGCCTACCTCTCTGACATTTCCCTTGCTTTATGTCATAATGTGTCACCTCAAATCTAAAGTAATCATATTAAATCGTGAATCTTATTATAGTAGTACTTTTCTTAAATGCCTCCAGTGGACTCCTATTGTAGGCACAATAAAAATTTAAATGTCTTATGTTGTTCATTTGACTCTTGCCTACAGCTCTGCCCTCCTTTCCTGTTTATTTCCTGTACCAATATTTTCCTACCTGTGATTCAAGACATAGCCAATTGTCTCATTGTAAGTTTTCAGCTCAAATCTCAGCCCATCAAGGCCTTCTGTAAGCACACCATTCAAAGGAGCTTCATCTCCACTGTAACCATTAACCCATTATATTACCTATATAGCACTTCTTTCTCATTGTACTACATTCCAATTACTCGTTATTTTTGGTCTGTTTTATTTCTTTTTGTTCTGTACCTATAGCATGGTCTACAGTTAAACACTCAAGAAATTATATTAAAATCAGAGAAAGGTTGTATAGAAGAGGAAATATATTCAGAGAATTTTTTAATTTTTAAAATAATGTGTATGAGTCTTTTACCTGCATATACATGTAAAAGTGTACCATGCATGCAATGCCCACAGAGGCCAGAAGAGGGCATCAAATTTCCTGGATATAGAGTTACAAATAGTTATTAGGCACCAAATGCATGCTGGGAACTGAATATAAGTCCTCTATAAGAGCAGCCAGTGCCTCTGTGTTGTGCTACACAAAATTTCTGTGTAGTCACCTCTTAAACTTATTGCAAAGGCTTACATTCTTCTCCAAGTCATTCAGAGACAGTGGGAACTGCCTGCATATCCCACGCATCTTGAACAGCACAGCAAATAGATGAAAGTCCACCTAATACTGGAAACAAGTACAATCCCTAGATGCACTCATAGGTAGTCTAATTTCAGTCTAATTTCTGTTATGTAACAGTATGCATATATCCATCTTAGTCTTACTGTAATAGTCAAAACCAAGAAGAGCTACATGAAAGCTATAGTTCACAAAGGGTCTGGTGAGGGCCTTCCAAACTAGAACTAGAAAACAAGGGAGGGAAGTTTTGCTGTGATAAAGTCAGAGTTAATGCTGGAACTGAAAAGCTATAGTTTTGGAGGTGGAACTGGCACCATGATTCTACCTAACACATTTCATGGGAGAGAAACCCCATCTCAAAGGCCTAAGCAGTAACTAGGAAGAAGCCCTCTACTATGTAAGATTCCTGAGGAGTTTCCATTAGCTATGGATTTACTATTAGTCTCTACTTTCTGCTCTTTCATTTCATGATTTTTTTTATGCAAACTTGTAATTATAATTCAGGTCCTTGGCTTCCAGATGCTAAGGAAAGTGTTGAGCAAAATATTAGGACATTCTAGCGATCAGGAGCGATTTCCTGACATCTTCAACGAGTCTATCACAGAATAACTCTCCCACCTCTGCCCAAGTCAGTTTCCCTCACTTCCCTTTTATAGTGTTGACCCTGACAGAACTCCATAACATATCTCTTCATGCTAATTTGTGCCTCACAGTCCATTTCCCTGGGAACCCAATTTGGAACCTCTATCTTTAAACACAGCATGAGTCTGGTGTTCAAATGAGGCTGTCACCAATTTGCCTCTTTTTCAGCTCTGCATTAATCTCACTCCAGCAAGGCTGTCCTCTGTGGTTGAAATACTTCAGGATATTTCACCAAATTTGCTGCCACAATTCCATAAAAATAGTTTTTTTCTAATGTCACGCTCATAGCAAAAATTTTGGTAAATGATTACCAGAAATAAAGCAACCTGATTTGCTATTTGAGAAAATGTCAACAGAAAACTAAAATATGCCAAAAATTACAGAAAATAATATGAAAAGAAATGCAAAGTTATGCTGACTTCTCACAATTAGCAATTGGTTGTAAGAACTTGGAAATTGTTATGAGATTTGATATTAAAAGGTAAAATTACTAAGCTGAGCATGGTTGGCACTCTCTCGTTATCCCAGTATTCAGGAGGCAGATGCAGGAGGATTGCCAAAAGTTTGAGCCCAGCCTTGTCTAAAAAGTTAGTTTCAGGCCACCTGGAGCTACATAACAGGATACTGGAGCAGGGTGGGAGGAATTATTCAATAAGGTATAATTGAAAACTTAGGATGGCTAGAAGTAATTATCATTATTACTACAATGTACTGTATTACTATACAAGATTTGATATACATTAAACAAGAATTTGAAGAAGAATCAGTCAAGATCCCAAAAATAATGTCTAAAGCATAAAACTGATTAAAGAATAAGGGAAAATTCACACTTAACAAATTTTGCTACGACGTTTCAGAAATTAACAAAGATTTTAATGGAAAACAGGCAGAGGATTCCTGGCAGTAGTAAAATATGAATAATAGAAGAAAAATGTCAATAAAAACATCTGAAGTAGTCAGAAATTAAACCCACTTTCACATAAAATGCTACATGCTATTGAAGATGAACTACTGTTTTCAAAGTATTGAATATATGAGATGAATAAATCACTCTATAATCCTTAGACCTCTCCAGTTAGAACATCCTTTAAAATGCTTGTGAAGAAAAAAAAAAAAGAAACTGGGAAAGTTCAAAAGCTTTCAAAAGTCTCTACCCAGTAGAAATTATGGTGATCTCTGTAAATTGTTAAAAGTAACAAGATTAGGATAAACTGATAGATTCATCACAGAGTGAGCTTTCATTTGGGAAATTAAATTTCAAAAAATCACTTTTTGGAGAAGTTCTTTTCCATATTGGCCACTGGCCACTTCAGTCTCACACTTTACTAAGATCAACTCCAAAAAAATGCACATTTTATTCCAAAGCACTTCAGTAGTCCTGGCTTTAGCACAGATCACGGCAGCTTAGATTATGAGCTCATTTCTGCCCCAGTGGTTGTGTCTGGGATGTGGAATATTGTGATCATTCAAGCTTGGTCTCCTAATTTGGGAGCTACAACAGCAAACCACATGGATTTAAATGAGAGAAGGAAATCTCCAAAAGAAAAGCCTGGGCCCATTATCAGGAAAGAGGAACAGGAGATCCCATGGATCTTTCATTCTTTAACCATAGCTAAACAAATCAAATTTCATCATCTTTTCCCAAAGAGAATATCTCACACTTGTGATTTTTGCATTCCACTGGAACACAGAAAAAGGAGGGATTTTTAAAAATTATTTTTTTTATATCTTACTTTAATTATACTTTTCTCTACCAGAGAGAGAGAGAGAGAAAGAGAGAGAGAGAGAGAGAAAGATTTGTTCAAGAGTGTAAGTGTGGGCATGCATATGCTAAAATACACACATGTCGCACAGGGTCTTGTGAACACACTGCTGCCTGTGTCAGGCTAGCTGGCTGGTGAACTTCCAGAGATTCTCCCATCTCTGTCTCCCATCTTGTCCTAAGATCACTGAGATTACAGACAATGGCTACCCCATCTGCCTTTACATGGGTTAATAATTTGGGCCCACATACTTATACTGGAAGCCTTTTATCAACTGAACCTGCACCCCATATTTTCTCTACTTTTAATATTTTTTAAAAATTAAATCTCCTTTTTCAAAGAAACAAGAAAATTTTTTTCTCCAGTCATTCCACGTGAATGTATTAGTCGCTTTTCTGCTGCTGTGATAAAACACCATGACCCCGCAACTTACAGAAGGAAGATTTTATTTGGACTTACTGCTCCAGAGGGGTAAGAATCCATCATGGTGAGGAGGCATGGCAGCAAGAAGTAGGCATGGCAGCAGAAACCGGAAGCTGTGAGTCACATCTTAACTGCAAATAGAAAGAAGAGAGAGCAACTCGAAGTGGAACCAGGCTGTGAACTGTCAAAGCCCACCCCCAGTGATGGCTCAACTTCCTAAAGATTCCATAACCTCCTAAACAGCACCACCAACTGGTAACAAAATGTTCAAATATTTGAGGCTCTGGGAACATTTCTCATTCAAACCACCACATTACACTCCCTGGCCTCAAAGGCTCATGGTCATACCATAATGTAAAATGCATTTGAGCAACTTTAAAAGTCCCCCATGGTCTTTCAGTCTCAACACTATTCAAAAATCCAAAATCTCTTTTGAGATTTAAGGAAATCTCTTAACTGTAACTCCCTATAAAATCAAAAAGCAAATTATATACTTGCAATGTGTAATGGCACATAATTTACATCCCCATTTCAAAATAAAGGAGTGTGGGCATAGTGAAGAAATATCAGATCACAGTAAGAGCAAACCCAGCAGGACAAGCACCAAATCCTGTAGCTCCACATCTGACATCTGGGATTTTAGTTCCAAATGACTTAGATTATTCAGTCCTTCCAGCTTTTCTACCTGCAACATACTTCTCTCTCTTGGCTTGGTTTCACTTCCTATACACAGCTCTCCTTGGTGATATCTCCTGGCTCTGGCATCTGCAACATCTTGGGATCTCTACTTCAATCCAAGCCTCACTTTCACAGCTTCACAGAGGCTTCCCAAGGCCTTCTTTATGCAGGGTCTCCCCAACACACGTTTCTTGGCCTCAATGGCTCTCTGAAACTTCAGAGGAATAATCCCATTCACTCTTGAATCTTTCATGACTCTATAACCAATAGCATGTTATTGACACTGCCAAGTTTGGCTGCTAGCTTCGGATGAAACTCCACCTCCCCCACACAACCCCTGCTCTCATCCCTGGAAGACATTAGCCGCAGCTTTTGTAGGTAGTGGTTTTCTAGGAGAAGAAAATCCCTTAGGCTTTATCTTGCACAAGTTGGAAAATTAGCTGGGTATGTCTTCCCTGTGGCAGTTCAGAGCAGGAGGCCTCTCCTTAATGGCACTACTCTCCTAGAACAATTACAGCCTTTCTTCTAGCTCAAGACTTGGCTGCAACATTATGCTTCCTAGTGCTCTTTTCCTCTCCAAACTGTATGTTTTGTATTTTTTTCTATCCCACTCACTCTTCTCAATGTTGAGCTGCATAAGAGTACCATTAATAACCATGTAACAGATTCAAGATTGGGCTGCCTTGAAATTTCATTCACCAAAGAAATTAGTCCTTTATTCTTTAATTCAGCCTCAGGAAAATTCTTAGACCAGTGAAAGAAGGCAGCCAGATTCGATGCGAAAATATCTCAGGAATGAGCCCAGTTGCTGATTCAGTCTTTGCTTCCCTCTTCTTATGAAACATCTTGAGCTTGGCATCTACTAAAAGGGCCATTTAAACTCTTCCAACAGCATTCAACTACTTTACTAGTCCAAAGTTCCAAAACCTTCCACATTTCTAAAAAAATAATAAATAAATAAATAAATAAATAAGGTCAGGTTCTTCACATACCACTTTCTACTGTCAATTTCTGTATTAGAAAAGTATTAGAAAGTATTTTGTATTAGAAAAGTGTCAGTTTCCTGATGTGATAAAACACCATAATCAAAGGAATTTATGGAAAGAATGGTTCATAAAGGATGAGTTCATCTTGTCAGAGAGTCATGCAGAAAGCAGCAGGCATGGCAGCAGGAGCTGCCTCTTCAGTAGCAAACAGGAAGCAGAGAGAGTAACTGGAAAAGGTACCAGACTATGAACTCTCAAAGCCTTCCCCCAGTGACACACCTCCTCCAGCAAGGATCCACTTCCTAAAGAGTCCATGACCTCTTAAGCAGTGCTACCAACTGGGGGCAAAGTGTTCAAATATTTGAGCCTATGGGAATATTTCTCATTCAAGTCACCACAATTAGTAACTGAGGCTGGTAAGTAAACACAGTACTGATTCTTTATGTCGTAATTGCTATGTAAATAAAAAGATTTTTTTTCATGTTTGATAAAGAGATGCATTGAGGCTGACTTCTGGGAACTGGGTAATACAAGTTATTCCTGGTATGTGAAGCTGGGCTAGGAGATCCAACAGCAACCTATAAAACAAAGGAAATTTTTAACATTTATAATTTAGAGGGGAGAAATCTCCAAGTTTGGCAGATTAGTGAAGGCACTAGATAGGATATAAAGCCTAGTTATATCAGCTTTACAGGAGCAACCTCTGTGATCTAACATTCCAGTCTTTTTGCTTATAAGAAAAAAAGAAAGGATTTTACTGAACGAGGGAGGTGGGGCCTAAGGGATTTATGTGCTTGTGCTTCAGTTCTGGCTATTCCCTGTTGAAATTCTAGCCTTCTGGAAGTTAAAATCAAGCCTCCTTGCCTCTTCATCCTGGCCAGCTGGTCAGTTGGTGATCTTTGAGTCAGGGCTAGTGTCCATGTTTGTACTTCAATACTATTTTATCCCCCTGATAAAATAGTATGCTGCATGGCTATCTGAATGGAGTTAGCAGACAACTAGATGGGGGCTCATGGATGGAGGCATCAAAATGGCTACTAAAGGGGTGACCACAGCTGTGAGCCAGGCCATGACTCTGATGCCTACTGTTTGATTTTTAAGTATTTCAACCCTGACCAGACCGACTGACTTATATAGGCTTGAGAATTTGTCTACATGGGCAGAGGGGCTGGATTAATCAGGCATGCTTATGAAGACTGGGAGAGGCATAACCTTCACTGTTATTTATTGGAGTTATTGCCTAAGTTCAAGTTCCTCTTCTCTGTTTCTGACTGGTATGTGGATCTTTGTTCCCAACTTGAAGTACAGATGATTTGCAGTGTTGGTTATTATAAGCTTCATTAGAACAAAGACTCTAGGCCAGTGGGTTGGTCATTGGGTAAAGGTGCCTGTCATCAAGTGTACAACTTGACTTTCATCTCCAGGACATACATGGTGGAAGGACAGAACAGACTTCTGAAGTTGTCCTCTGACCTTCATACGTGTGCCATAGCATGTGTGTGCCCACACACAAAATGAATATTTTTAAGTAAACAAAGACTCTAGCATGCAGAAATTTTTATGATTTCCATTTATATTAACTTTATAAAGTACACTGTTAATTTTCTCATCACTGTCACCAAAATATCTGACCAGAAACAACTTAAGGGAGGAGAGGCTCATTTTGCAAGGCATTGAACCTAGAGCAGCTTGGACCCTTGTCAGCTTGCTATACAGCTTCTTCACATCTTGGCAGACCAGGAAGCAGAGAGTACAGTCCAGAACTAAAAGCAGATACTACCTTCCAAGGTCTGCTTTTAGTGGTTTGCTGCTGCAGCTAGGCCTCATGGCTGGAAAGTCTCCACAACCCTCACAAACAGTACTACCAGCTGGTACCCAAGTGTTCAAGGTCGTGAGCCTGTGGGTGACAAGTATAATACACATGAAGTGTCTACTGTGATTTTTTTAAATCAGTTTTCATCTCCAAGTCAATTAACTTTACACTGGATAATGGAGAGTTGGCATTTTACAATAAACTGAATCTTTAGATAATACTGAAAATCATGTTTCCACACCTGTTTCTTCAACAATTAAATGACATACTTTGAGAATCTTATAAGATACAAGAACTATCCCAAATAATAGGAATACAGCTGAACTTCTTATACTCAGGGACTTAAATTTAGCAATGTAAATAAATAAATACACTAGTTCAGGTGCTAGAGAGAAAACTCAGTGGTTAGAGCACTGGTTGCGCAAGACCCAGGTTTGATTCCCTGCACCCACATGGTGGCTAGCAACTGTCTTTAACTCCAGTTCCAGGGGAATTCGATGCCTCCTTCTAACCTCCATGGGCATTGCACAATATAGATGCACTTAAATAGATGCAGGCAATACACTCATATACACAAAATAAAAAAATAATAAATTTTAATTAAAAATACACTTATTCATGTGTTGATGAATATTGTGAAGGGGAAGCAGGACAAAGCAATAGGAAATGAGAGGGAATTAATTTAGTCAGACTGCTCAGAGTTTGAGGAAGGGACTCAATAAATAACACATTAAAGTTTTATTTTCATTGAGAAAAAATGGGAGAAAAATGTAAATAGGAAACCAAATATCACTATTATTATTAATGATAGCAATTTAGGAAAATGTATCTGATATCTGTGGTCATGTGGACTTCTCAACATTGATGTACTAAATGACAGAGTGTAAGCCACTTACTCTGGGTGTTTAAAAACATGCACACTTCTCACAGTGTGAGACTCCTCTTGCAGAAGCATAGCACAAAGTGTGTAGGAGGGAGACTCAGACTTCCTGTAGGCAGCCAGAACCCAAGTGCGGAGAAGGAGATACTCTCAGGCCCTCTTCCAGCTTCACAAGTAAATAGTCACAGCTGATCCTTTGGTACAGAAAGAATGGAAAGAAGATATATGACAGGCTTATTATTAAATCCCTCCACATGGAAGAAAACAGGGAGATGGGATGCTGAAGATTCTGAGCGCTGCAGAAGGTAGGAGGAGAGACAGCGATGGGAAGAGAAGTACTGAGAGTGTCTGCAAGGTAGTAATCGTGTTAAAGGACTGTAGAATATAAATTGGATAAGGAGAAGCCAAGTCCATTAAGACAGTATCCGACAATGAATAAGTGTCATGGTAAATGAAGAGACAGGGATTCAGTAAGTGGCCTGGAAATGTCAGATAATTCAGCTGCTAGAAAACGTAATGGCCTATCAAAGATATCTACATCCCGTTTCCTGGAATCAATGAATAAGTTACCTTATATCCATGATAAAGGGACTTTGTAGGTATAGTCAAATTAAGGATTTTAAAGTGGGGACAAGTATCTGGGTGGTCCTGATATAATCACAAAGACCCTTAAAGGAGAAATCATGGAATAATGAGAACAAAAATATGACAATAGAAACACTACATCAGTGTCAGAGCACTTGGTAGTTAGAAATTGGCAGGTTTGGAGATTAGTGAGGACAGATGTGTCCCTCATGATCAGCTTCTGGCCGTACCTCCTATGTCCCTGCTAACACACAAATTTTGTAAGTAAAATACAAAAACAGATAAAGGAACAGGTATCAAAGCTATCCATTTAGAACTTACAATGTCACATAAAAGAAGGAAGAAAACATCAAATTGTCCTTCCTTAAGATTTAATCTAAACTTCCCCAAAGACTATAAAGTAATTATCTCACAGGAGGCTTCTGGTAAAGAAAAACTTACGATGTATCCTTGCTTAAGAGTTAATCCAAATGGATCTGTCCATCTTCTGGACAGGAAAATGACCCTCAGGAAACATGTGTGTACTAGAATCCTTAAGAAATAGTATAAAACTTACCTAAAACTGAAGATTGGCACAATGATCCCTTTGACCACTGTTCCCTCTTATCTCTTGATAGTGTGCCCTACACAACGGCTTTTCTGGCCATTATCTACTCTCAGTCTGTGTATTTCCCTCCACAATGGTCTCTTTAGCCACTGTCCTCTCTTGTCTTGAGGGTGTCCACTTTACTCAGAAACTCCATTTATCTTCTGTATTACACTCTGTGCCTCTTGTCTAAAGTCTTTCAATGGAGATCACAAGGACCAGGGAGTGAAGGGAAGGCCAGAGTGAAATCTTGATAACAAGACGAAGTTGGAAACACTATGCTGCCGGCTTTGAAGAAGGAGCAAGTGTCACCAGCCACTGGAAGCAGATGGCAAAGAAGCTGAGAAAGCGAAGGAAACACAGCCTCTCTAGAAGTAAGGCAGCTCAGCTCTGGTTATACCATGATCTTAGCCTGTGAGACACATTTGGGTTATCATAGCCCTAGGACTGTAAGATACATTTTAATGGTATTATTTAAGTCACTAAGTTTATTACAGCAACAAAACAACATTAATAGTTGATTAAAGAGTAGAATTATTTTAAAAATATATTTATTATTTTATTTTATGTGTATGAATGTTTTGTCTGCATATATGTAGGTGCATCTGTGTCAGGCAATACCAGTAGAGGCCAGAAGAGAGCATCTGATCACCCGGAACCAGAGTTATGAATGACTGTTAGCGGCCATGTAGGTGCTAGGAATGGAACCCGGGTCCTCTGGAAGAACAGTCAATGCTCTTAACCACTGAGCCATCTCTCCAGCCATCCATCTCTCCAAAAGAGTGTAATTCTTTAAATCAATATTTTTACAATGTATTACAGTTCTAGGGGGACAGAATCAATAGAATATATACATATATCATATATATGGATATATATTGATAAAGGTGATTTCTTATTTGGTTTACAGGATAGGAGCTAGGTGGCTAAGCAATAGCTGTCATGATAGACAGGCTGAAAACCTGGTAGTTGCTCAGTCCATGAAGCTGAGTGCCTCAGGAGTCTCAATCTGTCAATAAAGGCCCAGAAAATCCTTTAAGACTTTGGTCTTCATTCCACATTGGAAGGCCAAGACATTGGTAACGGATGTCAGTGGAGGATGGCAACAGCAGCAATAGAACAGATGTGCTCATCAGCAAGTGAAGACCGGCAAACAAGTAGCACTAACTTCTCATCCTTGGACAACTTCATGCCTGAGTTGCCACTGGAAGGTGCCACCCACTCTAGGGAAGTATCTTCCCCCCATCCCCAGTTAATCCTTCTTAGAAATGTCCTCACAAACCCAACCAAAGGAGTGTCTCTTAGTTGATGTCAGATCCAACCAAGTTAGCAATCAAAATTCACTATTATATATGGTGATGAAACTATTGGTAAGACACAATCTAGGGAATGGCGTGGGTTGACATATGGTCAGGGAAAGTGAGGTCTAGCAGCTCAACAGTCTGGGATGGGGTTATCCACATGAACAGTGGGGTCTCTAATGGCAGTCTTTATCTAGTGAAAAAAATTATCTAGTGATAAAACTTTCAGTAAATCAAGAAAAATTTGGTAGACTCAAAGATGCACTTCAAATATGTTCTTTTGTGGGAACAGGGAGACACAGGTGGTCTGGAAGAAACAAGGAAACAGAAGGAGAGTATGTATAAAAATGGGCTCTAGTGGAGAAAACTAAGGTAGCCAGTGTCATCAAAGATGAATAGGTCTTATGAAACGGTGTAAAAGGAATAGTGAGAGGAGAGTTGAAGAGCCACAAGAGTTTAAAATGTGAAAACACAGGTAAGAGCACAATGAATGAGTTTGGACTACTGAGTGCTTGTTAGTGATGTGCTCATCCTAGGGGTTTTCCAGGCTTAAGCATCATAAGCCCAGATGACAATACATGATATTAAGATTCTCAGACTTCTGAAGGTGATTCAGGCAAATGGGAGCAAGGCATGATGACATTTCACTGAAAACTTTTTTAGAAGAAAAAGCATTTATAAATACGTGATTATATTGAGAATTGCTCTCATGGATAGGTGTAGTCATGAGGTAAATGAAGAATAAATGTTTAACCAGCAAGAACCAAGAGCTCTCAGGTCTATTCTCAAGTCTGTCATGTGGGCATATCACGAACACACAGAGCTAGGAAGTGTAATGAAATTCAGGAGTCCAAAGAGGCTTGGAGCATTCTTTAAGGTTTCAGAGTGAATCATGGCCAAGGAAGGGGAGGTGGAGCTGTGGAGCCTTCTCAGAAGAGTTGTGGAATCTTTTGGGGTCATTGTAGGGAAAGGCACAGCAATAGGAATTAATGTATCATATATAGACTTCAGCCCTATTATTCCAATAGAGTCAAGCAGCTTAGCAATAACTATTAGTTTTAGAAAGTAGCTTCATATTGGAGAAGAAATACTTTATTTTAAAACTGAGTAGTTTAAAGGAATTGGAACAGTGAAAAAGGGAAAAAAACTGCAAATGAGTAACAGCCCAGATTGAAAGAAGCTTTTGCTGACACAAATGAGAACGGCTTTTTAAGACCTACGAGTGCTTGGGCAATCGTAAAAACTCAAACCCCTTGTAGAAAAACCCTGACACTAGGGAAAAATATATTTTCACCAAATTGGTTCTAAAAGTGAATTCTGCTTCTTTACAAAAATAAAGCTATCTTTTTAACTATTTTGTCTTCCTCAAACAGAAGGAAAATATGTTTTGAATTTTTTACTTACATTTTAGTTAATATTTATGAAAACTGGTTACGCTTTTATTCCCTGCAGTCCAAAGAACTGTACAGCAAGCGGTCTTCGCATGACACAGTACACATGAAGCCAGTGAAATCAGGCATACTGTGTGAGTAAGGTGTACATCAATCAAGTACAGAAATAGAATCTTTAGCATCCCTCATAGTCTCAAAGTGTTTTCATCTCATGAAGGCTGAGGAGGCTGGAGAGATAGGTCAGTGGTTAAGAAGACCGGAATTTGGATCCCAACACCCATATCAGGCAGTTCACAAAACACCTATAACCCCAACTTTAAAGTATTTGCCACCCTGTTTCTGACCTCTGTCGGTGCACGCACGCACGTGCGTGCGTACACACACACACACACACACACACACACACACAAATAAAATAAAATAAATATTTTTGAAAAGGAAAGAAAATAAAAGGGAAAAACACTACTTTGGAAATTTAAAATATGAATTTTCATATTATTTAGAATATAAACTACACAATGGATATTTTAAATACATGAAACTAGCAAGAAAGCAAGAATTCTGTCATCCACCATCATAAGTTAATGTAGACATTAAATGAGAACTCATAATTGAAGAATATTCATTTAATATTCATTTATTGAATACCAACTTTATGCAGTGCTATGAACATGTAAATGAAGAAGATTTTGAGGAGTTCAAAATCTCATATATAGATAAAGTATAAATGTACCAAAATATCCTCTTGTTCCAAGATTAGTAATGGAGTGCATAAGGGTTTGGACTAAGGCTGCTTTGGACAGCCATGACTCATTTGAGATGTAGGCCACAGAGGAAAGAAGAGAGATTGGGAACTGTTAACATCACTAGAACAAAGACTAAGCAAAATAATTTCCAAATATAGTTGCAGTAATTCTACCAGCAGCACTGTCTCATCAAGTATTTATTGAGGCAATGCTATACACTAGTTTCCCAACTGGAATTACACTGAATAAGTATGCCATTTGAGAGAGTTGACCTGGAACTATGTAGATCAGTCTGGCCTTGAACTCACAGAATTCCACCTGGCTCTGCCTCCCAAGTGCTGGCATTAAAGATGTGTGCCACCATGCCTAGCAAAAACCACTATTTATAAGCTACCATAGCAGAGTCTGAAGAAAGCTGACATGAAATATGGGGAAAAGAATGAGACATTCTTTTTTCTCCTGCTTAGGCAGGAAAGCATAAGCACTAAAAAGTAAGCGCAGGGAGACAGCAATGCTTACAAGCAAAGAAACATGGCAGACAGCACTGGAAAGATGAGCAGGATCCAGAATGTAAAATAA